AGGCATGGAAAGAAGCCGAGACAGGTGCAGAGGTGTAGGCAAAGTACGGCATCCTGGCGACGGTCTCCAGGAACCAGAACCTCCGGTTCGGCTTTTCAGGATGTAGGGCAGGGTTTAGGGTTTAGGGTTTAAGATTTAGGAGTTTAGGGTTTAAGGGTTTAGGGGTTGAGGGGTTTAGGGTTTAGGGGTTGAGGGGTTTAGGGTTTAGGGGCGGGGGCAACCAAAGTGTAAAGCGAAGGACTTACACTGCCTGGTATGAAGTTTAATGTAGGGGCCTTAGTGATTAGAATAGGTTTTGGGGTACATTTTCTCTCACTTTCGTAAAGACGCCCCCAAAAAAAGTGTAGGTAATTGGTAAGGCCCCCATATTTATTAGGTGAGTAGACCCGTGCGGGGCTTGAAATGTCAGCCACGCAGCTTTCACTTGTTGCACCTGAAAGGCCTGATCTAGAGAAGCGACTGCCCAGAGACTCCGAAGCCCCCGTCGATTAAGGAGTACACCTTGAATTCTGTACGGCTTAAGGTATATTACTGCCCCATCAAAATCCATCAGAAGCCAGCACGTTGAAGCTTGCTACGCTGCTGCGATCCTAAAAGACCTGTATGAACGGACTAGAAAGCCTGCACCTTGGCTACAGGCCTCGATATTCGCCACGCCTCTTGTCAGCGAAAGGATGGAGTCTAAAGAAGCCTTCCCTGAGCACGGAATCCGGGACCCGCGGCCCTCAACCCTGAACCGGTTGGGGTGTAGGGTTTGGGGTATAGGCCTATGGTGCCAGGCCGCGTCTATGCCCCTCGAGCCTCCTTACTTAGGATTCAAACCCGAAGAAACTTCCCGAAAACCCCCACAACACCCCACAGCATCCCTTAAAATCCGCAAAAGTCCCAACAGAAATCTATACAATCCGAAAGAACCTTCCGAAACCAAGGAGAAGACTTCACAAAGCGACGCTAAACCCCTATGGCGCTTAACCCCAAACGCTAAACCCTAAACTCTGAGCCCTCAAGGCCCTAAACCCTAATCCCTGAAACGAGAGCCAGCCCGGGCCTCTGAATCGGCCGATCCTCGAAGACGACGTCGATGAACCTCAGTGATTACGGCTTTCGGGTCTACCACTTGACGGTTTGAGGGTGTAGAGTTTTGGGTTTTGGGTTTTCTGCTGTAGGCTTTGGGGTTTAGGGTCTAGGGTTTGAGTTTGGGGTTTGGGTTTGGCTTTTCGGGTTGAGGGTTTTGTTCAGGGTTTAGGGTTAGAGTTTGGGATTGTAGGTTAAGTGTTTTTTGGTTCTGGCTTGTCTGTTCTGGGATTCTTCGCTCTCCGTTTGTTAGGGGGTACCGGGTCGTAGGTTCTGTGGCTTGTTGTCTATCTCAAGGGTTTAGGATTTTGAGTGTCGGGGCTTTGGGTTTAGGTTTTTAGGGTTTCGGGCTTCAGCGCTTACTGACAAGACGGTACGGTGGGCTCCAGTCGGCTGGTCATGAGTGCTTAGTTAAGGTTCAGGATATCACTGGGACATCACTACCTGTGTGGATGCCAAGAGCCCTATGACCCTAAACCCGCCAAACCTGAACAACAAATGCACTAAACCCTTAGCCCTTGCACAAATCCGTAAAGCCTTAAACCCCTAAACCTTTAAATCCCTAAACCCTAAGCCCTACACCCTGAAGCCCCAAAACCTGAAGTCTTAAAACCCCTAAACCCTTTAACGCCCAAACCTTCAACCGTAAGCCCTTAAGCCCCAAATCCTAAAGCCCTAACACCCTCTTCGAACCCTAAACCCTAAACCCTCATTGAGGGAGTCGGGGCTTTTCTCCGTGAGCCCCAAGCCAGCAGAGGACCTCGTAGGCCACTCGAACCTGGCGTTTCTGATCTAGGGATCGAAGGATTTAGGGGTTTAGGAATTTGAAGAATTAGGACCTTAGTGTTTTAAGGCTTTGCGGATTTTAGGCTTTAGGGATTTGGGATTTAGGGCTGCAGGGCTTGAGGGGTTTAGTGGAAGAGGGATTGGCCTTCTTGTTTGGGTTTTGCTTAGGCTGAGGATTCCTCTCAGTGGAAGGTCCGCAGTAGGGTCGTTTTCAAGCGTGCTGAACCTCTCCCGCACTTTAGGGTTCAGGGTTCCTTACACTAAGGATCCGACTACTTAATTAAATTAAGGGGTCTGTAGACCTATTGTTCAATGGAACCTCTTATTGAGGGTCTCTGGATCCAGGATCCAACTATCCGGGCTCTCTACTACCCTTCATTGTTTAGAACTCCGAACCGCCTGCGCGGACCATGGAGGGACACCCCAACTGCGAAATCACAAACCGTGTCAGAATCGCTACTCCAAGGCAGGTGTTGAAATCCTCGGAGCTCCTACGCCCTAAACCCCCGAAGTCTCAACACTGTCAACTTCTATTATACTGATCTTGGGACCTTGGCACAAATTTCAATTGGAGCTGTTTCTTGCCTAAGTCCCCCTAAGATAAAAAGTGGCGCAAGCTCGACCGGCGGGGGCGTTGGAACCTGCGGCCGTGCATACTCGCGGTCAGTCACGGCCTGGCAGAGAGTCACCGGATTTCAGGGTTTTAGGTTTTGGTTTATGGGAAGAACCCATTAAACCCTTGACCATGAAGTCATGAGTGCACAGTGGGGATCTCGAGTTGCAGCAGTAAACGCGAAGGCTTCAGGAATAGGCGGACTTGCAGCCCGAGTGCAAGCCAACCTCACTTTGTTCCGCCGCGGTGCTCAAAAATCATACCCCCACGTGGGCCCCTTCGTCAGAGTTGATCACAGGATGGACGGCTTCCGTCATAACTTGACCCCAAAACCCCCTGCACCCCATTTCAAAAGCCCTAAACCGCCAGAGTACCTACAGTAGCCCCCGTAGGCCCTTTTTGTAACCCTTCTAGCGAAGCTGAAGCCGACCCACGAAATCGAACTCTGCAGGCGCCTGGTTGCTGAGGACCAGGGCCTGGATGTATAAGGGTTTAAGGTTCATGGTTTAGGGTTTAGGGTTTTAGGGCTTGGAGTTTAGGGGTTTAGGGTTTAGGTGTTTTGGGTTTAGGGCTTTAGGGTTTTAGGGTTTAGGGGTATAGATTTAGGGTTTAGGGCTCCATAAACGTTCTGTCAGGGCTCGACTACGGCTCTATAAGGGTATTCGGACGTTGGGATCTACAGTTTAAGGCTGTAGGGTTGTAGAGTTTAGGGTTTTACTTTAGGGCTTTGGCATTCGGGGTGTTCGAGCGTAGCAGGGTGATTTCAAATTTTAGAGCTTTATATTCAGGTCAGGTTGTGAAGGGGGGGTTACATCAGAACCCTAAACCCTGAACCGAAGCGTCTTATCTTTGAGTTGTCCTATCAGACGCCGTGACCCCACCGTCTCAACGGATCGAATCAGTACGAATGTGGTACGTACGTTGAGTGCCAAACCGTCACCCCAAACCTTACCCCTAAACTACTAAAAATCAACGATATGGGTATTTACGACCTTTGGGATAAGCCAAAGGAGTGCGCCGACTGTACAATCGTAGCAATTTCGATCCAGGCTTTAAACCCCAAACCCGTAACCTCTTTAGGGTTACAGGTTTTTGCGTGCAGATCTTAGGGTTTAAGGCTTTGCGTTCAGGGGGTACTTTTCGTCTCACAAGCAAAAGACGATTCTGCAACATTCGCTTACCGCCTCCTCTGATTGATACAGCCCTCACACCCTTCCACCAAGACAGGCCCCTATGCAGTATTCACAGGTGAACCACCCCGAACACTCCGACACCCCAATCCCTAAACCCAGACTCTCAGACGGCAGCTTCGCAACTTGAGCATAACCAGTTCAAGCGGCTGGCTGAGGCTCAATTGCGGAACTACCGTTCAGGGCGTATTCAATGCCCAGGGCTCAGGGCTCACAGGGTGCACGAAATTTAGAGTTCATTGCTCCAGCTGCCGGTGAAAATGGGCTTGTTCGTAACGCCTTAACCCTAACCTCAAATCAGTACACCCTAAACCCGGCGGGCATGAACTTTTCCCAGGCTCACTTGGTCAGCTGATGATTGCCGAACACCCGGGCCTCAAAGATGGAACAGTATAAAAGCCTGACTCATCATCTCTATAATGGATAAGGCAAGAACAGTCTTGATATTCTAAAGTCTCTATAGCTGATAGTAAGAACAGTCTTGATATTCTAGTCTCTACAGCTGAAATAGTAAGAATGGTCTTGATCTTCTCAAACTCAGGCCTCTCTCTCAGGCGAAGCTCTTTGGTCCTCCGGAAGGCACGGGTCCGGGGGCCTCTGCCGCACAGAGGTCAAGCGCAACATCGCAAGTTCTGCACATCCCATCCCAGGGTTGAGGGTTTAGGGTTTAGGTCCCTGCAGCCCAAGAAGACGAAGCGCCCACTTTGGGCATCGTCCCTTGGTAGCCAAAGCCAACTCGCCATCCAGATCGGTGCGTTGGGCTGCCAGCAAGCATGCAATCTCCTCGTTCTCATAATGAGCAGCTGCCTCATGTATGGTGCCCAAGATGCCCACAAGCTCTCGTGGGGTTACAATCAGCGCGCCCCTCTAGCGGAAGTCCCACCATCATGCTATGGCCGTCGGAATAAACGCGTTTCGCTACGCTTTCCACAAACAGCACCTTCGTCTGCTCCGGCCTCGAGCAGAAGGCGAACAATCTGCAGACGCTTTTGTGAACAAGCCACACCTAGGGGTGTGCTGAAGGTATCGGAGGAGATCTTGTTGGCGTCAGCAGAAAACCTTAGCAGTAAGCGCACCAATATGCTCGTTGCCAGCCTTTGCTGCATGCCAAAGAGATGTCCGGAGCGCTGGCATCCAAAGGTCGTCAAGTGTTGACAGCAGGAACGACCGAGTGAATCTCATGCTTCGTAGCCGCAATAAAAATTGCCACAAACTCAACCACCCAGTCCTCCTGCCAAGGTCCCAAAGTTGACGAGCTCCAAGGTTCTGACGCCGTTGGAGACGCAGATGAGCACCCTGGGAGGCGAAAGGGTTCATTGCTTCAAGGAGGCGAACGCTCAAGCAGATCCCAACACGCGGCCGCCGACCTTGTTCGGGTTTGCCACGGCTTGCAAGAGGAGGCGGGCGACATCTTCGTGACCTCCTAGGGCGGCAGCACCAAGAGCTGATCGTGCGCGAGACGGACCGTGCCGTCGTGTTTTGATTGCGCACTTCTTCTCAACGCTGGCCCGGGCCTCCAGCAGCAGCTGCACGATCGATCGATTTCCTTTGAGGGCAGCAATGTAAAGAGGCGTCCTTCCATCTTGGTCGGTGAGGTCCGGATCCTGCGGCCGTTGGAGTATCTCTTCCACCCGTTGTATCGAGCCTTGCTCTACGGAGCTGGCGAGCTCGTTCGCCTGTCTCTTCGAGGTTTTCGCGAAGGCCTGGAGAACGAGTCGTAGATCACCGGAGCCCAGCATCGCGTCATCCTGCAGTGTCGTCTCTCCAAGGAGGAGTCGTTGTCGGAATCTTGGCACACCGCAAAGACCTTCCAGATGCTGCTTCAAGCTGCGCACAGTGGGAAACTCATCGGTGCTCACTGTGGCCCACTCCTCGCCAGAGACTGCATTGTAGACATGCAGCACGTCATCCCTCGCACGCTTCATACCCCTGCCAGGCTATAGCTAAGCAGCTACATGTTCCGCTGTGGGCATCTACTGTCAATCTACACCAGTCTGCGTTTTGCCCAGTTCCAGAATGAAGAAAAGCTGCCGGGCAACCCTAAACCCTAAATCGTGTTCGTTTCGATGTCGGACCTTTCAGCCGAAGCTGTCGACAGCTCAAAGAAGATCAACAGCAACTCATGATCATCAAATATCATCAATGATGAGCATGCGCACATCTGAGGCCCAGCAAACAACGAAAAGCGCGGTAATGCCAGTATAGAGGAAGGATTCCTGTTGAACTACTGAACCAATCAGCCAACCACTCAGATGTGTTGATCGAAGGCCTGCCTTTTCATGAATTTCGATGATAGCTGAACAGACAAACTACTCGCATCCTCACGGCTGCTGTGTATACTCTTCCTAACATCAGTTTTCGAAGACCTGACCCGTAGTTGCAGGAGCAGCAAAGCAAAGGCACTGCAGCTGCACATGGCCCCAAAGAAGACGAATCAAATCCCACCCTTAACCAGGACCCCAGTTCCCTGCCCTCAACCTCCAAATCCCTGGGCCAAGGGCAAGAACTCCGCACCCCGCACTCAGAAAAACACGGAACCCTACCAACACCCGCCACCCAAAAGCCGGAATGTGAAGCGATGCCGCTGAAGCATCTGAACCCCTACGGCCCTCAAATCCTGAATCCAAAAGCCGCGACCTCCGGGATTCAGACACCCGAAACCCCTAAAATCCTAAATTTCTGAGGTCCTAACCTAATCCCCCCAAAACCCCCAAAATCAGTCTAGAACCCTCAAGGGATCCTGAACCGGAAAAAAAAAATAACGGACCCTCGGCGTCCGGGCGTCCACGTAACGAGGCGTCCGCCGCAGAGCCGAGCCCCGGAAGCGGGCGGCGCGAAGGAGGAGCCTGGAGGCCGCAAGGGCACAGCGCGAAAGCTGCAATGCCGGTTGGGGGCTTGGGGCCGGTTAGTGCTTGACATAATCCCCGCCACCATCATCATCAACATCCTGATGATGATCTTCATCATCATCATCATCATCATCATCATCATCATCATCATCAGACTCCTCCTCATCGACATTACAAGGGCGGCGGCTATTTCAAGTAGGTTTAACTGCTTCGCTTTCTGAACACTGATGACACTCCTGCAGGCCTCCATTCGTTCTTGAAGTTCGCAACTGCCAGCTGCCAGCCAGGCATGGGACGCTCCTCTAAAAGCCGAGGCACACAACCCGGACTTTGAGGTTCGGGCCTGAAGGGTTTCTGTTCGTTGTCGGGGCTCCGAGTTTCAGATTTGGGGCCTATAGGGCCTAGGGGGTTGAGTATGCTCCAGGGAGGTTTCGGCTTCGGGCACTTCATGCAAGCCTTCTATAGGGCTCACAGGATAAAGTAAGAACTAGCCTGGGAAAGCTGCGTCAGTCAACCGAAGTCATCATGGGAAGGATAGAACCCGATAGAAGTAGCAACAGTTTGACTGTTACAAGGGTCCAAACCTTGTAGAATCAACAGATAAGTCCCTCCCCATCACATTGGACCGCTTCTGTGCAAATCCCCTTCTCAGGGCACCCCTCTTCGTAAGAAGCTCGACATCATAGCTCTTCGTGCAGAAGCCAAACCCTCCATTTGATGGACACCACAGACGTAGCTAAACCCCAAACCCTAAACCCTAAACCCTAAAAAATCCCAAATTCTTCATCCCACCGGCTCTCCGACTGAGCTTTGAGGTCGACGACACCCTCTTCCTGCACTTTCGGCTCCGGCTCACCCTCTTCCTCCTGGTAGGGTTTAGGGCTTTGGGCTTAAAGGGCTAGGGTCGAAGGTTAAGGGGGTTTGGGTTTAGGGGGTTTGGGGTTTCATATACTTATAATTAGGAACCGCGAGATATCTTGTATGTGAACATTCAAGGCTCTCCATGGGGCGCATCGGGCTTCACCTGGATCCGGGTTTCGGGCCTTCTGGCGACGGGTTGAAGAAGCCAGAACCAGGACATTCTAGTTGAAAAGGGCTCTAAAGGGGGTTGCAAAATAGATACAGGGGCTCTCGAGGGGATATCGCTACTCATCAGTCAGATCTCCTTTCTGCCTTCTTCGCCTTCCGAACCTGTTCTAGCGGAAAACCCTGGAAGCTCCTGTCCGCTTTGATGGCTTGGAGTTCTTCGAGATCTGCGGATCGCAAGTTGGCACTGGCCAGCTGGACTCAGAAACTGAGGGACTCCACGTATGGACGCGAAATAGCAAAATTCTGACGACAAAGATCCCCAGTTCCAGTGCAAAATAAGACCATACCCTAACCCCTAAACCCTAAACCCTTATAAACCCTAAACCCGCAACCCCAAGCCCTAAACCCTCAGCCATTTAAACCCTAAACCCTCAACCCCGAAATACTTAACCCTAAACCCCTACAAATCCCTTCCTTTTTTGCCAACCCTTGAAGGAACCCTAAACCCCGATAGATCCCTTTAAGGAACTCTTTAAGGATCCCTAGTCCCTAAACCCCTCCAGATCCTTTTTAAGGATCCCTTCAAGGATCCCTTTAAGGATCCCTTTAAGGATCCCTAAACCCTAAACCCTAAACCCTAAACCCTAAACCCTAAACCTCTATAGATCCCTTTAGGGATCCCTTTCAGGAACTCGGCTGCGGGCGCCTTCTTCCTCTTCGGGCCCGGCTTCGGGAAGCTGAAGGTCGCGCTCGGGACGAAGAAGCCTGGGCTCGTTCCTTTTCGGGAAAAGGTTCCTTTTAGGGTTTAGGGCTCCTTTGAGGGTTTAGGGTTCCTTTTAGGGTTTGGGGCTCCTTTAAGGGTTTAGGGCTCCTTTAAGGGTTTAGGAGTTAGGGGCTTAGGGTTTGGTTTCAGGGCTCCTTTAAGGGATCTAGACGGGTTCCTCTAAGGGATCTGTAAGGGTTCTGAAAGAAATCTATAGGGGTTCAGAGTTTAGGGTTAAGGGTTTAGCTTACGGGCTCCTTGAAGGGCTCCTTTAAGGCATCTGTAGGAACCCTACCAGAGTTTGGGTTCCTTTAAGAGTTTAGGGTTTGAGGTTTAGGGCTGAGGAGTTTAAGTGAAGTTACCATGGGCTCCTTCAAGGGTTCCTTTAAGGGCTCCTTAGAGGGATCTATAGGAACCCTACCACGCTGATGTCCTATAAGGATTCAGGGTTAAGGAGTCTAGCTTAAGTTACCATATTAGGGATCAAAACAAAGGAACCCTGGCATTATGGCAGCTTAGCAAAATGTAGGGGCTTTAATAATTAGAATAAGGTTCTGGGATATATTATACTCTCATTATAGTAAGGAACCCCAAAATAGTATAGAAAACTATTAAGTTAAGGCCCCTTTTTGGGGGTAGTTCTCGAAGTTAGAGTTTCTTTTAGGGTCCTTTCTATAAGGGTGCCGTACGAAATCTGGGACCTAAAAAGGGACCCTAATTTAGAAAACAACCCATATTAAGCTCCTTAACAAAAACCCAGCAGCTGGGACGGCCATCGTCGCCGACGGTCTTCGTCGGATCCTGCGAACAACAAAACTTCATGGGCTCTTTAAGTTCCATGTGGGTTTTACTACATAAACTCTAGAATTCTACATGGGCTCTGTATCTATAAGTTCAGTGTGGGTTCTATCTACGTAAGTTATAGATTCTATATGGCCTTTGTTTCCATAAGTTCTCTATGGGTTCTAGCATTACAGATTCGACGTGGGCTGTCTCGAATTTTTGGAAGGCTCTTGCAGGGGTTGTGATATCTATGCGGGCTTTACTCAGTGTTGTTTCAAGGGCGTTTAGACAGGGTGCTTTCAAGGGATGTAAATTGCCCTGGGGTTTTGGGTTTACGGCTTAGGGTTTGGCGAGGCCGGGGGCTTTCAAAAGGGGGGTTTGGGTTGGAGGGCGCTTGGCTTTGGGTTTGCAAGTGTAAGGCTTTTGGGGTGCAGTCACGGGCTTACAAAGGTTTTTGAAGCAGTTGTGGTTGAAATTCGGCCTTGTGATGTGAAGCTCTGATCGTACATAGATCTTTGGGTGCCGACAGACGGATGCCCGGTAGCCTCAACAAAACAAAGGACACCGCTGCTCGAAGCAATGCCATCGCATCCTTTTCGAAACATGCCCGGCAATCAGGTTTATGCGGGCCGTAGCAGGCGTCGGCGCCCGCCGCCGCGGGCACGGTCTGTGCGCCCGTGCCAGCGCTAAGACGTGACTTTCTCAAGATTAGGGGTTGGCGTGGCTTTTCAGACAGAGTGGTGTGAGATCGGTGGAATGTTGAGGGAAGCTTGTGGCTTTGGAGCTGCGCTTTGGTGCCTCACGTTGGAGGATCTGGGATCTTTCAAACGCTAAACTTTCGAAATCGTTGCACAGGAGCCGACGATCCTCATGTTGGCTCCTGCGGTGCTTGGATGGCTAGGGTTGCGAGCTCTGCAGTGGAATCAGCTGCAACACCAATCCATAATTGGATACGACCACGCTATCTGCACTTAGTTTTTGTGTGTTCTAGATCCCTTCTGCTTCTCCCTCCTCCTCCTCCTCCCACATTCTTCTGCATCCCCTACCACTACTGATGCTGCAGCAGCCACTACAGCGACGACTATTGCTCACTAACAGCACACTACCACCACCACTGCTGCTACGACGACGAAGACGAATACGACTACTACCACCAGAAAGACACTACTGTTGCTGACAAACCATCCAACGCCCAGTGCACAATGTGCTCGGCTGGCTGTCTGAGAACTTTGTTCATGGCATGGGAATGCAAAATGCTTTCCAATGTTTTTTGAAAAGTACCCTGTCAGCCCCAATTCACCCAAGCACGTCGCATGAAAACACAACGGGATTGATGGGCCAGCTGCGAGCATCTCGATCCTGAACCCCAATGAAACCCTAAACCCTACACCCTGAAGCCCCTATGGAACTCCTACAAACCGTTGCGACACTTAGACAACCGCAAAGGGGCTAGGCACAGTTTACGAAACTTAGGGGATCAAACTTAAGGGATCATGGGACTTCATAACTAGGGTTGTTGATAAGATAATTGTAAGACCTGTAAGTATTTATGACCCGAGAGGATCCTCCAACAAGAACTTCAAGGCAGCGAGGATGTAGGTGTTTAGGGCTTGGGGGTGAGTTTAGGGTTTAGGGTTTAGGGTTGAGTTTAGAGTTTAGGGTTGAGGGTTGAGTTTAGAGTTTAGGGCTTAGGGTTTAGGGTTGAGTTTCGAGTTTAGGGTTTAGGGTTGAGTTTTAGAGTTTAGGGTTCAGGGTTTAGTTTAGAGTTTAGGGTTTAGGGATTAGGGTTGAGTTAAGAGTTTAGTGTTTAGGGTTTAGGGTAGAGTTTAGAGTTTAGGGTTGAGTTTAGAGTTTGCGGCGAAGGGATTTAGAGTCCCTGTATCTAGGATAAAAGGTCCATCTGGAATAGGTGCTTTCTTTTATTGCCAGTACCCGCGAAAAAGCATCCCCAAGCATACACTCACAAGTATCCGAAGGAAGCCCCATATGCACCCACCAGAACCCTCATGTATACCATACGCAGCTCTACCCTACTGTACACCCAAAACCTTAAAAAACCCTAAGCCCCCAAACTACTAATCCCTAAACCCTAAACGGTCGGTGCTGTCACAAAGATTCGGCAACTACCCCGGTGCCTGGGGAGGGCTTAGAGTGAAGCCTAGAGTTTGGGGCTTAGGGGTTTAGGTTTTGGGCTTCGGGGTTTATTAGGGCTTAGGGGTTTAGGGTTTAGGGTTTAGGGTTTAGGGTTTAGGGTTCAGGGTTCAGGGTTTAGGGTTTAGGGTTCGGGGTTTAGCGTTTAGGGGGTTTTGGAGTCTAGGGCTTGGGATTGAGGCTTGGAGATTCTGCGATGCTAAGTTGATAGAAATAAGAATTCCCTATTCAGGGACTCTCACAACCGGATCCTACTCTCCTTGGTCTATGTCAAGGTTCCACTTAACTTCTACAAACTTCAGCTACAAAACGGTGAACGGATGCCCCGAAACCCACCATTCTTGCGCCCTGACTGACCACTAACCCGAAACACTGAACCCCAAATGCCGGAGATCTTATATAACCCCACATACCGAAATCCAAAAACCATAAGGCTTGAATCTAAGCGATGCCAGAGCACCCCGGCCCGGACGGTACTTTGTACGTCGACGGTCTACAAGAATTTATTCGGTGCTGTGCGATGGGGAACATGAAGCCCGGAACCCCAACGTCCGCTTTATATGGGGTTTGGGGGTATGGGGTTTAGGGGACAGGGTCTAAGGGCTTGGGGTTTAGGGTTCAGGGTGTAGTAGTTTGGGGTCTAGTGGTTGCCGCTGTATTCCGGCTATGTGGGCCACTGGCCCTTCTTGAAGGAAAGGGTTCTGGGTCGTGGTCTGAAGTTTTTTAGGCTTAGGGGGTAGGTTGCTTGGAGGATCATGGGACCAAGCAAAGTTATAAGTTATAAGCACCTTAACTTGGGTTCTAACTAACTATAAGCATAGATCCCCTACATATACCCCTGGTTGCTACGTATTATGATCCTTTACATAAGGGTCTATGGCTCAAAGACTGGCGTCGCACTCGGGGTTTCCACTGCTGGTGCTTGGGATGTTGGCTTCAGTTGGGCACTCTCTTGTCCAGTATCCTAAGGGGCAAAGGCCTGATACAGGGATAGTAATATGCCGAAAAGGTTTTGGCTTACCTACTCCACTGCTGAGTGTCAGAAAAATCTGTTAAAGGGATTTCTAAAAATAGAATAGGGTTTTGGGGTATATTTAACTATAACTATAATAAAAAAACCCAAAAATATTATAGGTAATCATACAGGCCTCTGTATTAGGGGCCTTCTTGGGGTTCCTAGGCTTCGGGCTCGGCAGTTTTCTTCACCGGCGGATTTGGCTTCGGCGGCGTCTTCTTCGATCGGCGGCTGCTGGCCTAAGGGGACGTCAGGAACCAAGGCTCAAGCACCCCGGAAAAATAACGAAAATGGACTTTTGCCTTGAGGATAGGGGGATTTAACCCTTTACAAAGGGGAGTTTGAAGTTAAGGATGTATCTAGGGCGCCGCAAGGGGGGCTCCTAATGTAGGGGCCTTAATAATTAGAATAAGGTTTTGAGGTCCATCATGCTATAATTATAATAAGGAACCCCCTAAAAGGAAAGGATCCTGGGACTGATGACTGAAGTTTTAGGGTTTAGGGTTTACCTTTTTTCGAGGGTTTAGGAGTTTAGGGTCTAGGGTTTACTTTTTTGTTTAGTGGGGTGGGTGCGGAGAGAAAGGAGAGGCCGCTTCAGGGGCTTAGGGCTTGGGCGTTCGAAGGCTTTGGGGGCTTTGGGGCACTTGCGGATCAAGGCTTGGGGCTTTGCAGGGTATTGCATTTTGCTGACTTAAGGATTTCGGGGTGTAATGCCTCCGCTTTAGGGTTTAGGGTTTAGCGTATAGGATTCCTTTTATAGAACATCCCATGTTGTGGGCCCAGGGGCGGGCGTCTTCAGCTGATGGGCTTTTTAGGAAGTACCCGGAGAACCACATGTACCGAACCCAACCGACTCTACGGAAAACGAGGCTACCTGGACTCTCTCTGGACTGTGTCCTCTCAGAGGGCATAATATGGGAGATTCTGAGCAGCGTCACGAAGTTGCACAGCCTCCAATAAGAGCACCTTAAACCCCCAACCGTAAACCCGAAACCCTAAACCCCAAACCCTAAACCCTGAACCACAAACACAAAGCCCTGTAGACACTGCGAACCCTCGGCCCTCAACCCGAAGAGCCTCGTCGAACCTCAGAAACCCAAAACCCATCCGGGTCTCCGGCGCGCCCGGCATAGCCTGACGGCGACCCGAGACCGTCCCCAGCACTTTGGGGCAGAATCTGGAATAAATACATGTACCTGTTACAATGAACTATCAAAACCTACTGTTTTGTAGTTGTAAACCCTAGTCTAGATGTCATAGGGAGCCTACAGGAAAGAGGGTGTGGTAGGTTCAGGTAGGGACTGTATAGGGCTTTCGGGGCGAATTTTAGCTTCAGGCCGTAGAGTTCAGGATTTCTCAAAGGGTTCAGGGTTTAGGCTTTAGGGTTTAAGTAGAATTACAGTTTGCAGGCATGATACACTGCAATTATTGCAGGCTATTGACGGCTCAGAAGCCTGCAAACCCGACAAACCTTGCACCTCGAACCCAGAGCAAATCCGAAAACTTTAAAGCCTGAAGCCCAACGGCCAGTGTGATTTTTGGTTGTGGCCCCTTTTTGCTCCGGCACCGGGTCACTGGTCCCTAGAATTTGTTTTGCTGTCCACCCCACGTGTGCCGAGTTTTATTCTTTTGGTGCGCCCTGCTGGATCAGTTTGGAACAGATGACATGCTTTATTGTTTGGCTCGCCGGGTTCAGCGGGGCCGGAGAAAAAAAGAACACCCGTCCCGGGAAGCGTCGCAGCCCAGGCCCGCAGTGAGTGAGTGAGCGTCGGGGGCGGCGGGGCCCGAACAACAAAACAGCATCACCAAGCTGGCTGGAAGTAGCTTTTGGCTGGCGCGACGCTTTCCGGGACGGGTGTTTTTTTTGCTCCGACCCCGCCAAACCCGGCGAGCCAATCAAAAAAATATCTGGTTCACCACATCGGGTCTACAAAGACCCGGCGAGGCCACAACACAAAAACACTACTTCCAAGCCTAAAATCCAAACCCTGAAAAATCCCGCGGTCAAGCATCAAGTCTGGAAGCCAGAACCAAAGAGATACTTCGAGAGGCTCAGGGATTACCAGAACACTTCACACACCCAAGCTAAACCTGCCTAAACCCCAAAACGAAACCCTACACAAACCCTACTGTAAACCATGTTTGTGTTGCCTTGTGTCGGCACGACGAAAAATCCATAGCTGCCAGAACGCAAGTGCCTCACACAAATAAAGATACCACCATCCACAGCTTCTCATCTCTCCACCCCCAAAATCCCTCGTAAAACTTGCAAAACCCTGACTCAATCCTACCATGGACCAATACAATGGAGCTCCAAGCTAAAGCTTATTAAACCTTGGTCATGAAAACCCCAAACTCCAAACCCAAAAAAACCACAAACCCTAAATCCTAAAAGGAACCCTGAACTCTGGTAGGGTTCCTTAAGATCCCTTTACTGTAAGGAGCCCTTCAAGGAGCCCTTAAACTAAACCTTAAACCGTCAACCCCAACCCCGAAACCCTATAAACCTTAAACCCTAACACTTGCACCCTCATCCCCAAACCGCAAACCCTAAACAACCCTAAACCGCAGCAGGGGCCGAGACCACTTGGGGTGGTCGACATCCGCGCTGTCCTGGCGGGGGTTGCAAGGCGCGTCTTTGAGGTTCGCAGATGCTTCGACACGGTTTAGGGTTTAGGCTTTAGGGTTTAGGTTTTTGAAGGGCTGCAGGATTTAGGATTGAGGGGTTTTAAGGATTTACAGGGCTGTTCAGGGTTCTGAAACGTTTTGGTGCTTTACAGGTCAGGGGTTTAGGGCTTCGGGGGCTTTAAGGATTTATATATGGCTTTTCAGGGCTCTTAACCGTTTTGGGGCTTAGGGTTTCTAGCGCCAAGGTCTTAGGCTTCTCGGGTTTGCAGGGTTTGGGGTTCAGGGTTGCAGTGTTAGGTCCTCCAACCCCCTGCGAATTCCGAGGCTCTGGATCCCCAAATACATCTGAAACGAACCCGGGAAGCAGCGCAACATGAAAAGCACCAAGTTTATGATCATGACAGTGATTCGTCAAAGTGATCAGCATGTAAGCTGGGGCTTATGATTCAAGAACCCTGAAACCTAACACCCTAAACTAGTTCAGCTATCATACTCGAGCGATGGAGCCTCTTTCGAGCTGGAAACTCTACTTAGTCTCCGCTTGGTTGCCTCCACTTTTCCCTTCTCCAACCAGCAGCATAGCACATCGTATTAAGCCTATTCGGCTATTTTCTAAGTCAGAAAACGCGCCCAAGTAAACGTGAGGCCAGGAGAGTGAGTTCTGTATCAGTCGCCTCTGGAATTCCTGGCGCTCGCTGCTGCCTTCATCACACGTCTTTAAAGGTTGAGGGGGTGTGGTTGCGATCTGGGGGTGCACAGTTCAAGACCGTCTTGCACAGGTATCAGTGTGTGACTATTTTGGTATCGATACAATCCTGGTGGTTTTCTCCGGTTCTGCAAAATTGCTCTGCTGCCTTTGCTTTTGGACGTAGTCGAGTAGCAGTAGCAGAAGCAGTAGCAGCAGTAGTCGTCGTCGTAGCAGTA